GTCCTACCACAGCATGTGTCTGACCGACACCTAATTTTCTAAAAATAAATGTGTCCGGCAGGTCCCCTACTCAACCGATCAAGTGGCAGCCTACAACATTCACAAAGACCGTAAACATAATTTAGTTATATCAAGATTAGTTCACTTACAGAAGCTTTGCGTAGAACTGGCTATGGTAGTATACAGCAGTCCTAAACTAAGTTGTCTGTGAGGTGTTAGCAGTCTGTCAACCAACTAATCAACAATAAAACTAAACTATGTTGCAGATGTATGAACAATGGGTATGGTTGTGTTTACAATTGAACACCAATTGGAACCTACCCTCCCCTCAATCCAACATATCGATGAGCATCATTGAGCAGCAGTGTCATAGGTGTGCAATGTCGGCCCACCCCTGCGCCCCAGGTGCATGCTTATGACCAGGCTTGCCCTTTCTTTATCCTCGCGTGCGACGAGCCGTACGTCCGACTGATTTGGCTGATCAAGAGGCCTATTTAAGGACTGCCCCCAAGGTCGCTCAGGAATTATTTAACGTCGCAATCAGGACGGCGATCACAGCCAGTTGACAGATCGGAACCCCATCCAGAAATGTTTATAGACGGTCTGGGAGCGTCTGCATAAGCCTGTTCAGTCCGCACACCCCTCTATCAGCGCAGCAAAAGTGCCCTCATGGACAAAGCAGCCATCGCATGCGTGTACTAATCCCATTGGGTTGGCATGGTGACCGTGACCCACGTGCTTCGACCAGGGCCCTTCAGAGGCACCGCCCTTTCTCCTTGCAGATGCACCACCGGGAAGATTGTCGTCTCTCAAGGTAGAGCGCTCACGACACCTCACCAAAAGAGAGGACTCTCAAGTTGGACTCACTTCCTCGCAGTAAGAAGAGATTGAGAGAGTAGATAAGGTAAGGGAACAACATACCTGGAGATAGCTGCCCCCAACCACAGATTTCTCACCAATTGAGCTATGTGTGCATTTGATGACCAGCCATAGCCTCAGTACCACACACAACGCAATGCAGTGCCACCTCAGCCAAATGCCACATCAGCATGCTCTCATCACCAATCATACATTCCGCCGTCGCCACGGCATCCCAAGCCGTATAGCCTTCCGGCGCACACCTCTCTACCCAGGTTGTGCGCCTATTTTCGGCCTGACGTCACAAGAACCAACTGCGAAGAAGCATCGTCAACGCACCAAGTCTGTATAACGCCAGCGCACCAAGGTAAGTGGCGAACCGAACCAGCTCCGATACCAAATTGCAAGGAACATGAATGTGGACGAAGCAGAGAAATCCCAAATTGCAAATCACACTGAAGTACAAGTAGTCCAAGCAAGAGTAGATAACACATTGGAACCGAGCAATCATCCATTTGAGAACGATACAGCAAAAGTCGTGAGTCAATGTCCAAGCCCAATCGGGCAACACCAACAACATAACCCGAAGTAGCCTTCTCTCCTGAATGGCGCCAGGCGCCCTATCTACTCTACAGCCTATACTACAACTACAGTCATGGAAGCAACCAGACGACTTGACGACCAGCTAGTGATGACGTCAACACCAATGCCGACCTCCTCTCCATCAGGTACTTCACTCTCTCTTGTCCCTCACTCTCCCTTGTTATCCCACACAGTGCCCTTCACTTCCTGAAGAACCACCTTCGCCCTCACCTCCTCCAGCGCCCTCATGCAGCCTAGCTATGGCTGCCAGCGCCCCGCGCCCAGGCTGCGCCCTACCGCTTAGCGCAAGCCTGCCTGCTCTCAGCCTAGCTCAGCGCAGCACACTCGCAAACGCAACAGCGTGCCGGCCTTGCTCGCAATGGCCAAGATCCCTGCCCACTCGCCCGTTCTGCCTATATGCCAGTGTTGCGAGTGGGCGGCCTCCCTTGAGCCTGCGCCTGGGCCCCAGTACCTGTACGCAGGCCCAATGCAGTTGGGGCCCACATAATACAGTTGCGCCTCTTTCATCAAGGCCTGCGTCCAGATTCAGATAGTAGTCCGGTTTCCCATTGGCATTTTCGGCCTCTATGTCCAGCATGCAATGTCGGCCTCACGTTTATGCGCCCAGGGCCTAACCAATTCCGGGGGCCTGGTCCTTCTGCATTTGCAGAGATCTGGTACTCGGTGCACTCCAACCAACTGGTGTGCGGCAACTGTATAGACCCCACTTCGTGAAATGTTGAACAAAGGGGCTCTCGTTGATTTGCTGGCCCGTCTTCACTTACGGCGGGCACGAGGCTTGCTGGGGGCCTTAGCCCAGAACATGTACATCACGGCAAGGCCCCATTTGAGGGCTCATCCTCACAAAATGGCAAAAAATGCAAAAAAACTTAAAAAGCCTTGTCACTGCAAACTGCCGTTTTTATTGCCTATCTGAACTTGGTACATGTTTTTGCAAACACGGTTTTTTTGGGGGGGGAACTGCTCCTGAGTCACCTTTCAAGTTTGAAATAGGCAAGAAAAGACACAAAGTGGCGCTGATTTCATCGTTCGAGTTTCAGAATTATGTGCAAGTTTAGCGGGGGGGGATGAAACTGTGACCCTTTTTTGAAGTGGCATGAATGCAGATTTAGCGGCGACTTTTTTTGCCCTCAGCTGTTTCGAGAACTGCTAAAGTTGCCTATTCCAAAGGCTGTAACCCAGGAGGCCGTTGCCGCTTTTCTTTCTTTTTTTTTTTTTACACACATAAATCGAGAAATTTGTCCAATTTCTTTTTCGGGGTATGGTCATACCACGGCTAATGCTCCCCATCCCATGTGAACTCGGAAAAAACAAAAAAAAAAAAAGAAAGGGAAAAAAAGGTTGATCAAGCACAACGATTGGGTGAAAAAAAAACAAAAACAACAAACAGTGGGTAGTCATTCAAAACCACAGAACAGAGCCGTCTTCAAACAAGCATAACATCCACCCCGGCCCAGAAAACAGCCACCATCATCCTGGAAGAAAACAGCCATCCACCCATCCCTCATGCAACCTGGCAGAAATCATCACCAATCAATCCTACCCCCAAAACCCCCCAGCCATTGATGATTTGGCCGACTTCTGACCTTTGCCCAACATGTTTCTAGTAACTTTCTACTGTTCCGCAAGCAGTCTTCTCACCCTGAAAATCACCAAAGGAGTCGGAGTCTTTGCTGTAGGAGGCCATTTCCATTGGCCAGGCCTACTGCTATCCTAGCCTATTCCTAAATGGTCCCGCCTACTACTGAACATCCAAATGCCAAATGGGAAACCAACTAACTGCCGTGTTGCTAGAAACGCCCCAAGGCACAAAACCAACATCAGTCTTAGCCTCACAGTCAGAGCAGGTTTCCTCAAAATGTACTCAGTCGCTGCAACACTCCTCCACTTGCCCCTAGGAAACCACGTGCCTAGTCCAGTTGATGTGGCTCAGTGGTTAGAGCACCGGTTGGAAATGCGCATTGTGGTATGAGGTTGTGGGTTCAAAACTCAATTGCAACCTTGCTCATGGACACCGGCAGGGCGTTAGATTGATGCACGGCTAGACATACACTCCCTTGGGCTGACGCATGGTACTATTACAGACACTGCCTGTGCACCACCCAAGGGTTGTTCATGGTGTTGTATGTTGGTCTCGGGTGTTCTGTTGATCTCCCCAGTCTGGCATATCACCCGTTCGTGCCATTTCCGCTAGTCGTTCACATGGTAGAGTCATTCGATTACGTGTTACAAGGTCACGGGTTCAAGCTTGGTTCGGACCTTGGGGGGGTCCTTATGAAGCTTACCACGTTCTCTCTTCGATATACACACATGATGCTGCCTATGCATCTCGATACATTGATTCACAGAGCACACACAGCCTTTGGGCATATACGTAGTTTGCGAATTATGCATGGCCTACGGGCTACATACACAAGTTTCCACGCATGGTGCTGTCTGTACATCTTGATACATAGATACACGGAGCATACATAGCCTTCGGGTATACACATAGATTGCGAACTACACAACTATCAGACTGGGGGGGTCTAGTCACTGGGTGGGCTCTAGTATCTGCAGTAGGGGCCACCGGAGTCCCTACTGATATTCGGATAGAACTGTCTGGTGGCTATATAAGGCTTAGACCCTAGGGTAAGGGTAGGGGTATAAGTTGCTCAGGCCAGTCCAAGTTCCGCCTGGCCTCAGGTAAGCTAGGGGAAGGACGGTAAGACTGCTTCAATGGTTGCTACCCTGTCTGAACCTAGGGCCCAGAGTCTCTTGGGGGCTGCAGTAGATTGTCTGGGCCTGGCGTCCGAAGTTCCCGTTGGACAAGGCTCGTCCGATTCCGCTTCCACCAGGGCTGGGCAACCTATCAGCCCTGGTGCCTATCACTGCTGTTCGGTCCAAGTTACCTGCCCAGTGGTAGGGTAATGGTCCTGAGTGCTGGTCACACTGAGGAAGGATAGTGGGATAGGGGGTGCGCTAAGAGTATTGACGTGAGGATTGGATGGGAGGTGGTCTCATATTCCAGGACACCCACGGCCTACTGCTCCAGGTGATCACTGTGCACTCAGTGACTGGCCTCTACAACAGCTTAACACCTACCATCGCTCCCACCCGGAATCAATACACAGAAGCATTCGGCCTATTAACCTCTTAGGCAGTACCTAGGACCGAATCCAGCAGTCTAAAGGACTGCCAAAAGACAAACTTCAAAAGCTTTTCGAAACAACACACACTTTCCAAAAAATAAGCCTTCACACACACACACACACACACACACAGAGAGAGAGAGAGAGAGAGAGAGAGAGAGAGAGAGAGAGAGAGAGAGAGAGAGAGAGAGAGAGAGAG